TCTCTATCTCATTCTCTCTCTCAAATAAATAAATAAAATAAAATAAAATAAAGATTTTATTATATTTGAGAAAGAGAGAGAGAGAGAAAGCATGAGAGGGGTAAGGGTCAGAAGGAGAAGCAGGCACCCCCGCTGAGCAGGGAGCCTGATGTTGGACTCGATCCTGGGACTCTGGGATCATGACCTGAGCTGAACGCAGTTGCTTAACCATTTGAGCCACACAGGTGCCTGATAGGAAGTGATTCCTAAACCTGACAAATACAACCACCTGGGATCCTTTAGAGAATGGTTTTTCCTATCCTTAGAAATTCTGATTCATATCATGTAGGATATAGCCTGTGAAACAGTATTTTTAAACCAGGATTAGGAGATAAAAATATGAGCAAGAAATACTAAACTTAACAACTATCAAGGAAATAATATAAGTGCATAAATTACCAGAATCCAAAATGAGAACTGACGTTAAAAAGTTAAAATCTGCAATGGATTTTAACATCATAAATACAGAATACTGCTTATATTTCAGAACAAATTAGATCTCATCACTGCATTAAAATATATTCATCATTTAGTACTAAATATGAAACAATACATTATATGGAATTATTAAAAATTCTTACCTAAATTAGCATACATTACAAACAGATTGAAATATTGCTGTAAATGACGGCCATGCTCTGAAACTTCCCTTCTGAGGAGATTTAATACTGCTCTTAGTAAGTGATCACTCAAGCTTAAGTTATCACATGCCTGTGAAGGATAAAATATTTTATTAGCCACAAGATGGAGAAAAGGATACTTCCTATATATATGTTTGCATTAGGAATATGTTCATATATATATTTATGACTGCATTAGGCAGAAATATCAGGAAGTAAATTACTAAAAATAGTTGCTTTTACAGAGATGGAAGGAAGAGCTGGAAATTTTACTCTAGGTATTACTGTTGTAACCGAAAAAAAAAAATCCATAGTTTTATGCTAAATAGGCTACTTAAAAGATTCAAATTTAGCATGATAAAAGTAAGTCCTCCCTGAACATATGTAATCTGAAGACTTACTGCTAGTAACTAAATAAACAGAAGGAATTTTCCTTACATTCTGAAAGCACCCAATAATCAAACTCACTGGTGTGAAATAATTTTAATAAATATACGCATGCTTGTATATATATGGTATATGTGTTAAACAAATGCATATGTTTAGTGATTTGATCTTGCAGGAGACAGGATTTACTCGTATTTTATTGTTAGAGAAAAGCTTTCAATTACCTGACCAGAAAGTCCAGGAGATGTAAATGATGAAGGACAAGGCCCATCTTGCAAAGAAAAATGTGCAATAAATACTATAAGTTTTGCAAATGCACCCCTCACTTCTGCACTAGGGCACTCGAGGAGATATTCAGAGAAGCGATTTGAAACATTAAAAAGAACATTATGAGCAAACCAAAAACGCACATTTTTGCTATGACGGAGTAGAATGCACAGTGCATCATACCTAAAACAGAAAAATATATGAGTATCAACTTTTATTAATGTTCTTCTGTTTTGATTTCTAGAGTGAACCAACAAACTTCTATGAATCAAATAAAAAAGAAAGTTCTTCTCTGAAGTTCTTCTCTAATTAATGGTCATGGTTGGTTCTAGTACAAGCATCAGAACTGTGACTTGATCTAGTCCACAGTCACAAAATGAATTAAATGAGAACTTGTGTAGATGGATGCAAATGTATTTTCCAAAAAGATGCTGAAACAGCTGTTAGATCAAGATATTGTAATGTCCTCCATATTTTTACAATTAGAAACTTAAGACCATAAACACTTAAAAAAAACTTCTGTATTTTTGAACTTAAGTCAAAATTCCATCTAGATAAAGCTTAAAACTTTCATAATGAAACAGTAAAAGCTATAATTTAATAGAAATAAGGAGTCAATTTTTGAATAGAAGCCATACTAAGATTAAGCAATTTTAATATTCTTTTCAACATTACTACCAAATTTTTATCCTATGTTTGAAATAAGATTCTCATGGCTAGGGAAAAATAAAGCAGTGCAGTATTGATGCAAACCGACCATGAGTATAATATGAATAAAATTCAAAGCCATGTACCAATCACTGGCAGGGCCACGGACAATTTTCTTCGTGTGAAATCCAGTGGTAAAGAGGAATCTAGCTGCAAGTTGAATACTAATCATAGTGATTTCTTCTGCTTCAGGCAACAAGTGATCTTGTCCTTTAAAAAACATGTATGTAATCAAACATTTTTATTTAAACATATTTAAACAAATGCCCAATGTTAAAATGATCTTAGCTAAAAGTAATCTTTAGTGCCTATCTTAGTACTTCACCAAACCATGTTTCAAACTAATGTTTAAGTCAGGTAAATTGTTATAAATAAAAGCTCTTCAATGTTTCTAGATACTATCACTACTCAAAAATACAGGGATCTTAAATATTTGACTTTAACATAATGAATGAAAAATGCTGACATTGGGATGCCTGAGTGGTTCAGCGGGTTAAGCATCTGCCTTTGGCTCAGGTCATTATCCCAGGGTCTTGCACTGAGTTCCAAATCGGGCTCCTTACTTGGTGGGGAGTCTGCTTCTCCCTCTGCCTGCTCTGCCTGCCATTCCCCCTGCTTATGGTCTCTTTCTCCCCCCTTCTCCCTGACAAGTGCATAAATAAATATCTTTTATTAAAAAAAAGCTGACATCTTTAAAATAAAATGCTAATTATTTTCTGGAAAAAAAAGGAAAAAGAAAACTGAAGGAAACTGAAGGAAATCTTCAGAAAACTGAAGGAAAATATTAATATGCATTTATGGCCGATAAAAAATTCTGTAAGTTAAATAAAAATTATTTATTAATAAGAAGCTAAATTCCAGAAACTTACCTGGAGCAGGGCTTAGATAAATACCATTACATGTAAGCAGTTTTTTTACAAACTGAAAATATTCTAAACTGTACTGCATTCGGTTATGCATGAATTGCACATTTTGTTTTCGAACACTCCTCTCAATGGCTGGTGACATAATTTGATGGGGTCTTGTGATAGTAAGTTCTGATATATATCTTATCATCTGATCATCTTGGTCTACTGTGTCCATTCGTTCATAAAAAAGTATATAAGCATTCCACCATCTTTTTTGCCGCCTGTATGACATCCGCTTCATCATATGATCAAATACTTCTCCCATGTACTCTCCACCAAAACACTGATTTTTCATTTCTTCATCATCATCCATTTTACATTCTGTTACATCTCCATCATCAAATTTATACCAGCGATTTCTCTCACCATCTTTACCATTCCTTTGAATGATGTAAGAATAATAATGTCCTCCACTTGCTTGACCACTGTGTACAAGCACACCCACAAGTCTGTATTTTGTGCTTCCTGTTGTCTCACTTTCAGACTGCTCATTCTGTTCTATCAACTGACTGTGTGGGTTTACATTATTTCCTTCCAGTTTTGCAACACCTGGTACTGTGTAAGGTTCCATGTCCAGCTCTCGTGGAAATTCAAAATAATCATTGAATTTAATTGCACATTCTCTTTCCCAGTCATAGTCAAATCGTTTCAATTGGATAGCAAGAACAGGAGGCAACTTTTTAATTAGCAAGCGCTTTACTGTATCAACCTACAATAAACAGTGAATATAAACAGGGGCTTTTATAACCCAAATAAAAAATAAAAAAATTTAAAACTTTATGATCTGGATTTATTCAGAAATAGAGGAGTACATGATAATGAATACAATTAAGATCATTTTGTTACTACTGTTTTCAAAACATTTATACCAAACCTAAAAATATGTAATTACTCTCTCATGTGACACAGAAATTAATGGCTACATGTTTCCATACTGCTATTTCTATCTGATCATTTTTCTAATGTTTATTTTTATGCTAATGAACAGAATCTGCTATAAGCAAACTTAAGAAATACTGTACGTAATAACAGCATCTACTACCTATGGCACTTACGGCCACATAGTATACTAAATGCTGCACATATATTAACATATTTAATTCTGACTGTTCTGAAAGCTCCTAACTCAAGGTTCATAGTTTAAAATATGGGGAGGAAGAACGGAAGGATGTGTAAAAAACAGACTGCCTCAGAGGAAACCATCTGAGACCTGTAGGTAACAGACAATATTGTGGCTTTAGAGATCATGACCTATATGATGTTTAATGTCGGAATAATACAGGTAGTTAGGAAATGAGAGTAGGGCTCAGAAAAATATTTCTGTAATATTTATCATCACAGACATGTTATTATTCCATCTTTAACTGTGTAAGTGGCTGGAATAAAATGAATTGGGCTGAAAAAATGAAATCTGGTGTTTAAAAAAGTGCAAGTGGTTATGAAAATCTGATGTAACCAAATAAAATGAGTGATTCTAAACATGAAGATAACATGGAATATAAAAGAGGAGCAGTGTTTTCTATTATCAGCCCTTCTGGTTTAAGGAATTCAATAGCAACTGTGACATCTAAAAGGAATCATCCAAATGAAATGGTTTCTCCTAGTCCACTGGCTTTATTTTCTCTCGATAGTTTCCTTGACAAATCTCTCAATAGTTTCCCTGATAAATCTTTAAGTTACTGTGACTGCCTCTCTGCCACAACTGTAACAAAGCAGAGTAGAAAAGTGGTATATTTTGAGGTTGAACAAAGCAACTCTGACATCTTCCAGTTCAGTTAAACATTATCATTGATTTTTAAAACCAGACAATACTTACCTTTTTATCACATTTTTCACATCGATATGCATTTGCACCTTCCAATAAATCTCCCTTGATATACTGTTCCAAAGAATCAAGAAGGTTTTGGTGATTTCTAATATCTACATTCAGAGTTGTAAAAGATTCTTCACACTCGTATCTAAAGGTATTATTTTAAGAGACAATCAAAAGGATTTATTCCTTAAGTTTCCAGTTATCCTTTAGCTGTAAACTTGATGCAAAATATATTTTTAGTCTTTATTATATCATGTTAAATATATTAGTCAAGAATTATTAATAAGCTTACTTAAGTTTGTGTGGACACTGTATATTAGATTAAAAAAAAGAATTTAGTTTAAGTCATCTCTATCCCTAATGTGGGGCCCAATCTCATGACCCCAAGATCAAGAAACTCATGCTCTACTGACTAAGCCAGGCAAGTGCCCCTATATTAGATTTTTTTTTTTTAAAAATTTTATTTATTTATTTGAGATAAAGAGGGAGAGACAGAGCACAAGCAGGGAGGAGAGGGAGAAGCAGGCTTCCCGCTGAGCAGGGAGCCTGACGAGGGGCTCCTTCTCAGGACCCTGGGCTCATGACCTGAGCCGAAGGCAGATGCTTATCCGGCTGAGCCACCCATGCACCCCTATTAGATTCTTAATACATATTATTGCTTATCATCACCTTTATAAAAAACCTTCTAGAAAAAAAAAAAACAAAACTGTTAGAGAGGCATATCCATCCCTATTTCACAGATAAGGAACTGGAGTGGAAGTGAGAGGGGGGCTATCAAAGAGATTAATTTGGTACACTTAACGAGGAAGAGTGGTGATTTGAAGTTAGGCTTGTCTGACCTCACTGGTTAAGTTCTTTATATTCTCTCATACTGCTTGCTACCTATGTTATGTGTTTAAGTAGTAATTCATGGGGTTGTGTGGAGCCTGCTTAAGATTCTCTTTCCCTGGGGCACCTGGTGGCTCAGTCAGTTAAGGCTTCAGCTTATACTAAAATTGGAACAATAAAAACCTTAATTAGCACTTACCTATGGGGGCAGCCTTGGCAAATCTTCTGATCAGCAAAGGAACCTCCCAGGACTTGACTTAGTATAGCTGGATGTCCTAAAGCTTTTAAAGCTTCATCTAAACTATCCACCAAAGAATTAAAAAACTCTAAGGCATCATGTTGTTCCCGAAGATTAACAGGTTCACCCCAAAGCCTTAGAAAAAAAAAATAAAGTTAAGAACTATACTATGTCCCCAGAATATCCGTATTTTACTTTTCATAACCACAACAAAAATGTCAGAAATCTAAGCTGAGCCTTTATTCATATAGGAAGTAGAAATAAAGCAGTAAACACTATCTACCGAGTAGCAATGGTAATGGAAGTGAAGGTCACAGTAAAAACTGTACTCCAGTGTCAAAGAATTACCAAGAAATTACGGGTCCCAGGCTTTAAAAATGGTGTCCTAAAAAAAAAAAAAAAGAATGGTGTCTTCTATACGAAACAGTGTATTTGCGCATTCTGAATGCAAGTAAAGAGCATTAACATGAGAAGGAAAATCCATTCTTATATGGCTGTTATAATTAACTCTTACTTTCACATTTTTACAGCAATTTATTCTTAACCAAGGTGATTTTTCCAAATGGAAAAAAAAAAAGCTTTGTCCTGTTCTATTGTAATTTCTAGTAATCCAAATGAATTTATGATTTAGTCCAGGGGTGCCTGGGTGGCTTAGTCAGTAGAGCATGGAACTCCTGATGTCAGCGTTGTTGAGTTTGAGCCCTACACTGGGAGTAGTTTACTTAAAAGAAAGTTAAAGGGGCGCTTGGGTGGCTCAGTCGTTAAGCATCTGCCTTTGGCTCAGGTCATGATCCCAGAGTCCTGGGATCGAGCCCCACGTCGGGCTCCCTGATTGCCGGGAAGCCTGCTTCTCCCTCTACCACTCCCCCTGCTTGTGTTCCCTCTCTCGCTGTGTCTCTGTCAAATAAATAAAATCTTAAAAAAAAAAAAAAGTTAAAAAAATAAAAATAAAATTTAGGCCAACAGATTCTGAGAAGACAAAATACCAAATGTGTGAACAAAAAATGAGAACTGTTGTTGCTAGTATCAGATTATGATGGACATTAGTAACATTTAATGGTTATAGAATAATAATATACATAAGGGAATAAAATATATTCATTTTCAGCAAAACATATGGTAAAATGTTAAATTTGGTAAGGAGGTTTATTATCTTTTGTGTGTGGTGTGCTTTTACAATTTAAAAAACTAGCTGCTTATTTTTTATTTTTAGCTGATTATTTTTTAAAATTTAAATTTACAGACAGTAACATTAAATCTTTTTGGAGCACAATATGTACGTTACCAAATGCAGACAGATGTCTAATGACCACCACAATCAATATACCAGACCATATCTCAGTCCTCACCCCCACCCCAAATCTCCTAATGCTACCATGTTAATAGTCAAAACCTTCCATACTCTTAATTTCTGGAAACTTTTTTCGTTTTTATAGTACTGAGCTGAAGTACTGTTTTTCAAAGTTACTTGAGTTTGATCTTTCAATTTTTCTGGCATTAATGTTTGGGTCAAACTAATACTTTTTTCCTACCATTTGATTTTTAAAAACAATTTTGAGATAATTGCAGAATCACAGAGAGTTCTAAAAAAATAAAACAAAATATACCCTCTGTGCCTTTTGTACAGTTACCCCCAATGGAACATCTTATAAAACCACACAACAATATCACAATCAGGATACTGATAGTGGTATAAGCTCCAATGTTACTGAGATTTCTACAGGCTTACTTCTTTATATCTGTGTGGTATTTAACTTTATGAAATTTTGTTAACTTCTGTGTATTTGTGTATCTACCCTGGTTAAGATGAAGAACAGTTACCATCATAAGGATCTCTCAAGCATTCATTCTACAATCACACCCATCTACTTGCTACTCATTCCCAACTCTGGCAAACACTAGTCTGTCTTTCATTTCTAAAACTTTGTCATTTCAAACATTTTATACGAAGAGAATTATATAGTATGTAGCCTTTTGGATTTGGCCTTTCTCAGTCATCAAAATGCTGAGATTCACCCAAGCTGCTGCATGTACCAAGAGTTCATGGTTTTTTAGTATGTAATATGGGTATACCAATTCATTTAACTACTGAGCTGTGGAAGAACATCTTGGTTATTATTCCCAGTCTGGGGCTACTCAGAGCTGCTCTGAATATCTCTGTACAAGTTTTGGTGTCAACCTAAATTTCCTTTTCTCTGGCATAACTGTTCCTGACTGCAACTATGGATTATATAAGGAATTGCTAAATTGCTTTCTAGGATAGCTGAATTATTTTATATTCACAGCAGCAACAGGTGATCCCATTTCTCAGTATCCTAGCCAGTATCCGGTGCTGCCACTAGATTTATTTTACCAATCCCATATGTGTACTGAACTCTGACATGCTTTCATCTCTTTACTTTTAATTCACAGCATTAAATTTAAATTTGGTATCTTGCATGGTGCAGATAATTGAGGCCTGATTTTTAATTTCATCTAATAATCTGTGGCTTTTAATTGGAGCAATTTCACTTTATATTACTACTGATATAACTGAATTTAGTCATATTATCCTATTATTTTATTGTTTGTCTATCAGTTTTTTCTTCTCTACCCTTTTGAGAATTATTTAATTATATTTTTCTATTTCAATGAATCTTTTTATCTACATCTGTTATTTTTTGTTTGCTCTATAAATAGTCATAACTTATCATGTAGAGTTTTGGCATTCATATAACACAAAGAAGCGCAGCACCTGAGTGGCTCAGTTGGTTAAGTGTCTGCCTGCAGCTCAGGTCATGATCCCACTGTCCTGGGATTGAGCCCCATATCGAGAGCCCTGCTTCAGGCTCCCTGCTCTGTGTGAAGTCTGCTGCTCTCTCTCCTTCTGCCTCTCCCCTTGCTCATGCTCTCTCTCAAATAAATAAAATCTTAAAAAAACAAAAACAAAGAAGACTCATAGCCAAATAAATAACGGCCTTTACTTTTCTGTTAAAAATATTAAATGTATTACATTAAAAAAATATATATATATTTTTAAAGATTTTATTTATTTAACAGAGAGAGACACAGCAGAGAGGGAACACAAGCAGGAGGTGTGGGAGAGGGAGAAGCAGGCTTCCCACTGAGCAGGAAGCCCTGTGCGGGACTTGATCCCAAGACCCTGGGATCATGACCTGAGCCGAAGGCAGACACTTAATGACTAAGCCACCCAGGCGCCCCTACATTAATAATATATTGAATGATTTCCTTTTCACTATTATTTTTGCTTTCAATATTTATACAAACTAAATAATAAAAGAAAAACAGAGTACTGTGAATACACAGTATTTCACATTTCTGATATTCTTATTTTTGAAATTCCAAATTTTCCCTAAGTAAAATTATCCCCCTCCAAAGAAACTCTGGTGAGGAAATTCATCGCACATTTCCCTTTGAGAATGAATGGACTTATCTCTCCTTCACTACTGAAGAATATTTTCACTGAAAATAGAATGTTAGGATATTTTCTATTGTTTATTAGTGTCATACCAAGAAATCACTGCAAAATCCAACATACTGAAGTATTCTGCCTTTGTTTTCTTCTAAAATTTTTTTTTTAAAAAGATTTATTTATTTATTTTGAGAAGTGAGAATGAGAGAGAGAAAGAGAGTACATGAGAGAGGGGAGGGTTAGAGGGAGAAGCAGGCTCCTCACCAAGCAGGGAGCCTGATGTGGGACTCGATCCCGGGACTCCAGGATCATGACCTGAGCCGAAGGCAGTCACTTAACCAACTGAGCCACCCAGGCGCCCTCTTCTAAAAGTTTTATATTTTGTAGTTTTATTTCTTATGTTTACATACTTGACCCATTTGGGGTCAATATTAATACATATGATGTAAGGTCAAGATCAAATGGTCAAAGACTGAAAGCTTTTTTCTAAGATCAGGAAAGAGGCAGGATGTCTTATTTCTTCATAGCACTGGAAGGTCTATAGCAAATACCAATTGGTAAATTAAGAAACACAAGTATCTAAACTGGAAATCCTAAAGATTCCACAAAAAACTGTTAGAATTCAAGGAATAAATTCAGCAAAGTTGCAAGATATAAAAATCAACGTGTAAAAATCAGTATGTGGGATTATTATTGATGCATACAGAGTTTCAGTTCAGAAAAAAAGAAACAAAAAAATTCTGGATTTCAGTGATGGTGCACAAAATGTAAATGTGCTCAATGCCAATGAACTGTACACACAAAAGCATTTAAAGTACTCTTATGTCATACACGTTTTTAGGACAATAAAAAAATAGTGCATTAGAGTGGAAACCTGAAAAAGAAAAAATAGGTAGAAGGGCTTCCCTCAAATTTTAAAAATTTTGTGGATCAAAGGAACTACCAAGAGAGTGAAAAGCAAATCCACAGAATGGGAGAAGGTATTTGTACATCACTTATCTGTAAGGGCCTAGTACGATGGTTATACAAAGAACTCTTCATAACACAGTAACAAAAAGACACGGAGAAATAACTTGAATAGACACTCTCCTTAAAGCAAAACAAGGCAATAAATACATTAATAGATATTCAACACTATTATTCATGAGAGAAATGCAAATTAAAACCACAATAAGGTATCACTTGACACCAACTAGAAAGGCTATCACAAAAACAAAGGGGAAAGGAAAACACGAAAAATGAAAAATAAAATACTGATTATTAAAAAACTGCAACCATCAAATTTTGCTGATGGCAAAGTAAAATGACTTAAAGGACATGGAACAGTTTGGTGGTTCCTCAAATATTAAACAGAATTACCATATGACCCAGCACTTATACTGCTCACATGTATGTACACTAATGAAATGAAAATGTAATCTTACACAAAAACTTACACAACGTTAATGCTGATAAGAGCACTATTCAAATAACCCAAAGAAAGAAACCACTGAAATGTCCATCTATTGATGAAGAAATAACCAAGCTGTGGAGTATCCATCCACACAATGGAATATCATTCATCCATGAAATTAGGTTCTGATACATGCTAAAAAATGGATGAACCTTCAAAACATGCTTTGTGAAAGAAGCTGGATGAAGAATGCTATATTACATAATTAAAATTATATGAAATAATGAAAATAGGCAAATTCATATAGAAAGAACATTAATTTTTTTGTTGTCATTGTTGGAAGAAGGGAAGACTGGAGAAAAACATTTTGAATGCATTAAACTGGCATTGAATTGTACATTTTTTTTTTTAAAGATTTTATTTATTTATCTGACAGAGAGAGACACAGTAGGAGAGGGAACACAAGCAGGGGGAATGGGAGAGGGAGAAGCAGGCTTCCTGCTGAGTAGGGAGCCTGATGCGGGGCTTGATCCCAGGACCCTGTGATCATGACCTGAGCTGAAGGCAGACACTTAACGACTGAGCCACCCAGGTGCCCCTGAATTGTACATTTTTAAACAGTTACAATTCACGATGGTGAATTTCATGTTATGTGTCTAGAATATAGATAGTACAAAAGGGCTCCATTAAATGGAGAAAGTAACTGTGAAGACAAAAACATATTTAAGCACGAATACATTACAAATTTAGTAAATACATTATAATTCAGGAGCAAAACCATCTATAAATCTTGCTATATATGTAGAAATATATAGAAATACACAAAATACATACACACATACATATAACTGAATGAAAGATTTTAAGACAACAGCTTGAAACACAGTAGCACAGTAATTTGGGAAAAAAAGAAATGTTGACTAGACTACTGAATAAAATCTTGAGTCCACACAAGATAACCTAAGAAAAACAAAAGTACTGAAATCACTAGAGGGGAGAGAAAAGTATATGCAGGTGACAAAACTAAAAAAGGAAAGGCATATATCTGGAAAGAAGCAGTATACATGCAAATCAGTCTTTTGCCCTAGACGAACAGTTCAATTTGTGGAAGACAGAAATTTATAGATCGATAATGTCATTTTGGTATCATATACAGATCTATCATACAGAGGTCTACATATATCTACATAGAACTATCAGCCAACTGTAGTAAATGGGTTCTGATCCTGCATTTAAAAAAATCACACTACTAAATGTTAAACAACTTGGTAAATTTAAACAGTAACTTAAATGTAGTGATATTACAGAGGTTTTTTTTTTTTAGATAATATCATGGTTATGCTTGTTTAAAAAAGAGATACATAAATGAAAAAGCCATACATACATATATATAAAATGTCTAACATATGTTTCAGTTGAGAACTGCTGATTACGTGATAATTTTTACGTCCTCCGGCGAAGACAAAGACTAAGAGGGACGTTAGAATAATATCACCTTGTTTAAATATTAAATGGTTATACATTCTAACATATACAGAAATTTAAACTTAATATACTGACATTTTTATAAAATCAAAATTATCATCCACCCATAATATACCTGAACTGTTTCCAAAATCCTCTGGGCACATAGTATTGTAGTCGGGAAGCAGCTAAATGACCAAAGATGACCTGAAGATGTCTTAGGACACCAATATTGTATTCTTTCCTATCTTCTGTCTTACTCAAAGCTGGTTTGTCTTCAAATTGATGAGGATATCCAAATACATCATCTCGGGGATCAACATTACTCTAGAGACCAAAAAACAAACAAACAAACAAACAAACAAACAAACACAAACAAAAACAACAAAACACCAGAACCAAAAACAAAGAAAAAACCCATCATTGATGAGCTAATCTAACTGTAGAAGCTGAGACAAATAAAATTAGTAAATGAATGATTTACATTATTTTACATTCCATGTTTCCAAAGCACACAACTTTCAAAATTTACAGTATTAGTGCTTATTCCTATAATTTCACAGATGAATTATCATTTAAAAATCATAAAAGAATAATCCTGAGAGGCGCCTGGGTCACAGTTAAGTGTCCAACTCTTGTTTTTGGCTCAGATCATTATTTCGAGCCCAGCATTGTGCTCTCTGCACTCAGTGGGGAGTCTGCTTGATATTCTCTCCCTTTCCCTCTGCCCCTCCCACTCATGCTGTCTTTCTCTAAAATAAATAAATCTAAAAAAAAGAGGAAGAAGAAGAATCCTGAACATCCACTGGAGATAGAATAAGAAAAAAAAGATAAAGTTCAACAGCCTAGATTGAGACAAATGAATATTTATTGTAAGTAGAAATAAGTTAGCTTTGCAGGATTCATTTTCTTCTGGAGATAATGCGTTTTTCACAGATTATATGAAATAATTTTTGTGGCATTATCAGAATTATTACTAAGTACAACAATTAAGACTACCTTTGGTAGAAACACCATAGACAGAAGCTCTGAAGGTCTTAATCACACTATAAAGCAAAATTTAGTTGTTAACAGAGCACTGAACACCATTTCATATGGTTTGCTCTGTGTCAGAGGCTTCTGATAGAAGTAGACAACACCCAGTTCCTGCCACTGAGATTACAATCTAGGAAAGCAACCTAGTAAATAGACAACCACAATGTACTGTTCAAATAACGTAAAGCACAGGGTTATCAAGCAGCAAAGAAATCTGGCATCTTGTCTGTATTTTCTGCATTTTGCCAGTATGGTCAGCCATGTCTGTTTATGTTTAATTCAGCATCCTACCAGTAATATGAGCTACAGAACTAAGATTTATATCCCAATTTTCTCTGCAACACTGGTTCTTAACCAGGTACTAGTGTGGGCACCTCATAGGGGGATTCTTTAAAAAAAAAAAAAAAAGTAAACATATTCAGATACTACTGTCTGGATGGTGTGATTTGTTGGATATGAGAAGAGTGCAGGCAGCTGTATGTTTCAGACTCTCCATGACCACTGGATAGCCAAACTAGTTTTGGTCACTGAAGGCAAGAAGCACAGGAATGGGGGAAGAACCACTTACTACAATTACAGTATTTTCTGTCTTCTCTGTTAATTCCTATGAACTTGTGTAAATGAAAAAGGAAAAGGAAAATAAACATAGTTTTGATATAAACAATAACTAAAAGTTAAGTCCTTCATATTAATGTATAAAGAGCTACATCTTAGTTTTACATACTCTGATTTGCCACTAACACATAACTTTCTTATATTCTGTACTGGATACTCCTGGTAGCATGATTATAGCCTTACTATTTACTAATATTGTTAACAGGACCATATACCATTATTATTTAAAGTAGCAAACAAATTTGGTTTTGTATTAGAAAAATCATAATGAGAAAAATATTAAGAGTATTCTAAAAATAGGCATAGGTGGTGAAACTGATATAAATAATATGAAAGGAAAAACAGAATATAAAGATTAAAAAAATCAAAATATAAATTATTTTATTTTTTTAAAAGATTTTATTTATTTATTTGACAGAGACACAGCAAGAGAGGGAACACAAG